GTGGCGCTGCACTTCCTATTCATGGCGCTGCGTGCCTTGTTCGTGGCGCTGCAGGGCTTCTTCCCGGAAGTGTTCCCTGAGCCGCCATTATTCTTGAGTTGTTGCGTCTCGAAGGCCTCGGACGCGTGCGTTGCGTAAGTATTACGCAATTCGAGCGTGATCGTGCTAGAACCCAACGAGTGGGTGAAGATAGAACGTTGCGGAACCCAGCGAGTGGGTGGAGATAGAACGTTGCGGAACCCAGCGAGTGGGTGGAGATAGATAGTTGCGGAACCCAGCGAGTGGGTTAATGACTGAGCTCAAAAACCTATACGCATTCCTTGCTGCCAGATATCGGCAATTGAGACGACACCATTGTGCTGGATGGAAGCGTATATACACACATTTACCCAGCAAGCGTTCTTCTCTTGGGATAAGTATTCCTTGCTATACCTATACTCTCTGTAAGAAATTTCTGCTCATATATGAGATATTTGATTACTACGATGCATTTTGTAGTGTGCTCACTCTAATGACATATATATATATATATATATGTGCGAAGGTGATACATTCTGTGACGATCTCAAAGTGTCGTTTAGTGACACTAGTAAAGGTTAAGTATAGCGAACTGGCCTTGTGTTGCGAACCGTTGCATTTAGTTTTCATAATAACTAATTCGAGTTAATCTCTCTCACCGAAGCAATGTGCCTGTGATTCTAGTAACAGGATTTCTCATGGAATGTGTCACGACGTTGAATGTATTGAGAAGTTAATGTACGAATGTATAATCTGAGAGGTGAGTCGCCTCTATGCTTACAACCTCGTTGTTATCGGCGAGATCTGTCTTTGAATGCGAGTTGATTGGACAACACATATTACTTACATATTACATATTACTTGCGCTTGGTTCAGTAAGAGAACAATCACGTCATCTTCATTAGTTTATACATTTTCTTTACGAAAATATCTAAGGTTTCCTTTTCTTGTTTCCACAAATCATTCACATATTCAATTACAGTTATATTATTACATTTAATGATTAATTATAAGTATATGAAAATATAAACTATTTTTCTGCCTTTGACGAACGTTGTTACCCCTCCCCCCGATCAACGTATTCCGTTTACTAGCGTATGCTAATACGCAACAGAATTCAACAAGGAAACATCGAATACAAATTGGATAGGCGATTCTGGAGCATCTTGCCATATGACGAATGACAGAAACAATTTCACAACCTTTGAAGAAATAAATAATCATCTAGGAGTTGCTACAGCGAATAAAAATGCATCAATGGAGGTAAAAGGAAAAGGAACAGTAATGATCAACAGATTCATAGACGGACATTGGGTGAAAGGACATCTGGAGGATGTGCTCTACGTACTAGAGTTGAAACGAAATCTGTTTTCTTTTCGGAAATGCTCGGATAATGGATTTCGATGGATAGGAAACTCAAAAGGAGTAAAAATTATCAATAGCAATAATGATGTAAGAATGATCGGCATTAGAGATGATAATCACTACCGCATGATATTCAAGGTGTTGAAACAAGATCAAGCATTATCAACGGAAAGAATCACTTTGAGAGAATGGCATAAGAAGCTCGGTCACGTGTGTCATAATACACTTCGTAAGATGGCAAAAGAAAATTTAATTGGTATCGAAGACAACGTTGAATTCAACTCTGAAGCATGCAATTATGGAAAGCAGCATCGAGCGTCCTATAAGAAGGAAGGTAGACACAATTATGAAGTTGGAGAGAAGATCCATTCTGATGTATGCGGACCGATGGAAGTGGAAGGTCTTCATGGCGAAAAATGGTTTGTCATATTCAAAGACGATGCAACCGGATACCGAACAGTTTATTGTCTGAGACAGAAGTGTGACGTGCTTCCAAAATTTATTGAATTGCAAATGAGCTTCGTAATAAATTTGGAAGAGATATGAAAATTTTCCGAAGTGACAATGGCACTGAATATACAAATAAAGAATTCCAAACGTTCTTGAAGAAGCGAGGAATAGTACACGAAACATCTGCACCTTACACGCCGGAGCAAAACGGCATGGCTGAAAGAGATATGCGAACTATTGTGGAGACAGGAAGGTCAATGATGTTTGGAAAACAAGTAAGTCGTTTCTTGTGGACTGAAGCGGTGAAGACGGCTGTACGATTATTGAATCAAACACTAACGAAGAAGACAGGAAGCAAAACTGCATTTGAGCTGTGGACGAATAAGAAGCCGGATTTTAATAATCTTCATGTGTTTGGAAGCATTACATATGCACATGTACCATCAACAAATCGCAAGAAATGGGATTCAAAAGCACCAAAAGCTTTATTTGTCGGTTATCACGGTTGTAGTGATAATTTTAAATTATATGATGAACAAACGAAGAAATTTTTCTATTCGAAAAATGTGAAATTCAACTCAGAAGTTGAAACAGGTGATGATAAATTTTGCATCATTCATGTAGAAAGTAAAAAGGTTGTCAATAACAAATAAAAGATGCACTAAAAGAAAGAGAAGATAATGAAGAAACTTAAGAAGAAATTCAAGAAACGCAATCGGTGCATAGAAAAGAAAACTACCGTAAGAAATTACGCACTCCAGAAGAAAGAAGATCAGTAGACAGATATAAAGCACATTTAGCTGATGCAAGTGATTATATTACATATGAAGAAGCAATGAAAAGCGACGCGAGAGACAAGTGGGAGAATGCAATAAAAGAAGAAGTTACAGCTCATCTAAAGAACGGTACTTGGATAGAAGCTAAAATGCCAAAGAATCAACGGTTCATCGATTGTAAATGGTTGCTGAAAATAAAGACTGTACCCAAGGAAGCAAATCGATACAAGGCTCGACTCGTCGCAAGAGGATTTCAACAAAAAGAAGATGTTGATTATCAAGAAATCTATGCTCCAGTAGTTCGGTACGAGACTGTACGCATTATGTTGGCAAAGGCAGTTTCAGAGAATATGTACATCAAACAATTCGATATGAAGACTGCATTTTTATATGGAAAATTGGAGGAAGATATCTGGCTACAACTTCCAAAAGGACCATGGGGCCCAAGTAAAGTCGTTAAATGCATTAAATCATTGTATGGCCTCAAGCAATCACCAAACTGCTGGAATAAATGTTTTATTGCATTCTTGGAGAAATTTAATGTAAAGCAATCTCAAGCAGATGATTGCTTATTTATAGGAAAAGAAGGTGGATTCAACTTCTATTTAATACTTTATGTGGATAATGGCCTGTTACTGTGTAAGAATCAAAATATACTAGATAAGATAATCAACGAAATGAAAGCTGAATTTGAAATTAAAGTATGTAAACTAAGTTATTTCGTTGGTTTCGAAGTCGAAAGATTTGAAGACGGATCGATCACTATTCATCAAGAAGCTTATATTAATAAAATGCTTGACAAATTTGGCATGCAGGATGCAAAAGAAGTATCAACGCCATTGGACATGAATGTGAAACTGAGCAAGGACATGGACTCAAAGAGCGAAGAAGCCATGAAGAGGATTTCTTATCGAGAATTAATAGGATCATTGCAATTTGCAGCTAATATGACAAGACCAGACATAGCCTATTCAGTGAACCTACTCAATCGATTCGTAGAAAATCCTAAAGAAGCACATTGGAAGGCATCAAAACGCATACTTCGCTATCTCAAAGGAACGAAGAAACTCGGTATCAGCTATCGACATGAAGAAAAATTAACAGGTTTCTGCGATAGCGATTATGCAGGCGATCAAGACAATAGTCACTCAACTAGTGGCTATATACAGGGTCCATTATAAAAGTAATGCGCATTTTCTGGGAAAAATATAAGGTGTAGTAAAAAGAAATCCATTATTTTGCATGAAATTGAAGGCTTTATTTAGTATAGTTAGAATGATCCGATTTAGATCAAATATGCACCGTTTTGTTCGATAATTTGTTGCCATTTTGAAGGTAATTTCATTATGCCTCTCTCATAGAAACCCTCGTCCCTATTGGCAAAAAACTGGGACAGTTGATTTTCACAAGCTTCTCTTGAGTCGAATTTTTTACCAGCAAAATCATTTGCCATAGACAGGAACAGGTGGTAATCACTTGGAGCCAGATCCGGACTATAAGGTGGATGCATAAGAACCTCCCAACCAAACTCCAGGAGCTTCTGGCGAGTCACTATCGATGTGTGTGGCCTTGCGTTGTCCTGATGGAACACAATTCCTCTCCTATTGGCCAACGCTGGCCGC